ATATATAAGATATCTTAAAACCATTGACCCTTGAAGAAACACCTTCTATAATGTCAGAGTTAAAATGTTTTGACAATCTAGGTCCAGTGTTTGAGATAGGTTTTAACACACTAAATAGATGTTTGGCAGGCAAACCATCAAATAAACTCAGCACAGTATTGATTTAATGTATATTGAATGTCCACCTTATTGCGTAAGACTCAAAGAAATAGAAGATAAGGAGTAAGATGAGACATTCAAGACAGCTAGAGAGTAATGCAATGTATATACATATGTATGTTGTTATTGTTATGTGCCATCGAGTCAGACCTGACTCATAGCGACCCCTCCTTGGGTTGCTGAGGTGGTATCACTACGGAAGTAGATTGCCCAACCTTCCTTCCAAGGAGTGGCTGGTGGGTTTGAACCGCCAGACTTCTGGTTAGCAATCAAGTGCCTTAGGCACTATGCTACCAGAGCTCCCATACATACGTATATTTGTGTGTTAATATGAAGACAGATATGTGCATATATGCACGTATATACATACACAAAAATATAAAGTAAATTCTAATTCTTAGCACATATTTCTGCATATGTGATAAGAAAATTTAGAGAAGAATCATTGATCATCACAAGATTTTGTAGTCATCAGAGGTAGCTTTCTAAGGGTGAAATAATATGAAATGACACTTGAAGTATATAGGCTGTACAAAGGTAGAGAAGCCAAAATCAATGTGTGACAGCCTGAAACCAGTCCAAGTACAGATTGTTTAGTTTGTTGAATTAAATTATCCATATATTCACAAATGTTTATTTGAAGTTTATTATGTGGCAGGATTTCTTCTAGGTATTCATGATACCTAGACAGGAGATAAAATCCCATGCCTGCTGGTGGGAGAGATACAGACAATAAACACAATATATAAGTAAATAAATTACATATATGATAATAAGTGTTTTGGGGAAAATGAATTCCTTAACTTGAGTGTTAAGCAAAGGGGATTTGGTTATATAAAAAAACAAACTCATTAGTGACTGCGATCTTAATAGCTTGCAAAAGGCCATCTAGATGCAACGATGGGTCTCTCCTCATCCAGAGCAAAGAAGAATGAAGAAAACCAAAGATGCATGGAAACAATTAGTCCAATTGACTGGTATACCACGTGATCCTCAGCCTATACGACTATGAAACCAGAAGAATTAGATGTGCCTGGATACCACTGTCAACCAGTCAGAGAGGGATCTATGTCGGAGATCCTGGATAGAGAAGGAGAATTATGTGGAAAAAAACTCAAAATCATAAAAAAAAAAAGAAAGAAAGAAAGGACCAGTTTTGCTTGTTCCATATAACCTGATGGAACCACTAAGACCATAGTCCCTAGCTGCCCTTCAGGTCTGGAACTGAACCAACTCCTGCAGCTTCCAGCCAAACAAAAGACAGGCATATGAGCTGAACTATGTACAAGGAGACAGCTCAGTGGGCAGGAATGCACGGGAGGGAAGGACACAGGGAAGAGGTAACTATGGGGAGGAAGTGGGAGGGGAGCTGTTGCATTGTTGGAAATTGCAGTCAATGTCATGAGACACAGTGCATGTGAGCTGCTGTATGGAAAGTGAATTTGCTCTGTAAACTTTCATCCAAATCACAATAAAAATAAAAAAAAACTCACTGCTGTCAAGTCGATTCTGACTTATTGATATCGCTGCTTGGGTTTCCGAAACTTTCTCTACAGAAGTAGATTGCCCAGTCTTCCTTTTGAGGAGTGGCTGGTGGGTTTAAACTGCCAGCCCTCTGGTTAGCAGTCAGATGCCTTAGGCACTACGCCATGAGAGGTCCTTTTGGTTTTATAGGACACAAAAAATTGAGTCAGAGAATTACAGAAAATCATATGAGAGAAGCAGTGCTTTAAGAAATACTCTGGGAACAGTTTGTGGAGTGCATTGGAATACAGAGAACAGAAATGAGTGATGAAGATACATTAAATCAGGGCAGATGATAATGTGGCTGCCACAGCACCAGTGCCATATGAGCTCTGAAGATGGAAGGAATCCAACAGTCACTTCAAAGGAAAATCTGACATTTAGTGACTTGCTGGCTATAGGAAACAAAGAGGAAGACAATTAAAAGAGATCTTTAATGGCTTATATCTAGGAACCAAGAGAATGGTGACATCAGTGTTACTCATGAAGATAATAATAATAACAGGACAATGAAAAAGTCACTTATTTCTACTAAAACTAGAATCCTAAAATTGGAACTTCCATTTCATGCCTGATAGAGACAGCTCAGGGCTTTCTCAATCCTTGCAGTGTTTTTAAAAGAATTTCTGCAACATTTATATATGTACTTGGAAAATGCTCACCAGTTTGCCACCAATGGTCTAAGACGGGAACTCGGAAGACCTGTTTGGACCATTCAAGGGTCTCCACATCACAACGTTCTCCAGCCACAAATAATGTTTTGAACCTGAATATAATAAGGGGAGTAAATTCAAATTATTCTTCAAAAATAAATCTAAAAAAATTTATCAACACATTTTTAAACATTGTGGAATCTAACTGCACTGAGTATTGTGAAGATAACAGCCATAGTGCCTATATATCATATCGTGGCATGGTGAAACATACTAGTTTTGAACTAAATATAGTGAAAAGGTGAGAGGTACTATTTGTTTGAAAACAAAGTGTAACCAAATGCAATCACAGCATCAGATGACATATTAGAAAAGTACAGTTGTTGCTGTAGTTCCTACAGCTTCTCAGTTTTGAGAACAAAAATTATCTTTCTTATATATGACATATTATTAAATATTTTTATGATCTAAAAATCAAAAGTGAAAAAGCCTTTCCTCTTTGAGATTGTTAGGTGCCACCGAGTCAGTTTCAACTCACAGCAACCCTGTGTACAATACAATAAAACACTGCCCAGTCCTGCCTCAGCCTCATAATCATTGCTGTGCTTAAACTCACTGTTGCAGCCATTGGGTCAATTCATCTAATTGAGGGTCATCCTCTTTTTTTTTTTTTTCCCCCTCTATGGTACAATCTACTGTGAGCAGCTGAGTAGCTGCCTTAGGGATGTTGTCTGCTTCCAGTATATAAGAAGCAGCTTTGGGGAAGGTCTCTACTTTACCAAGCATGATGTTCTTCTCCAGGGACTGGCTCCTCCTGATAAAATGACCAAAGTATATGAGATGAAGTGTCACCATCTTCACTTCTAAAGTGCATACTGACTATACTTCTTCCAAGACAGATTTGTTTGTTCTTCTGGTAGTCAGTGGCATATTTAATATTCTTCCACAATTCAAATGTTTCAATTCTTCTTCCATTTCCCCAGTGCACTAGATCATTTGATTTGTTAACTGCTGCTTCCATGGGCATTGATTGTAGATCCAAATAAAAAAACAATTTGACATTGTCAGTCTTTTTAATTGTATCATGTTGCTTATTGATCCAGTTGTGAGCATTTTAATTTCCTTTATGTAGAGGTGTAATTCATAGTGAAGGCTGTTGTTTTTCATCTACATCAGTAACTGCTTCAAGTTCTCTTCACTTTCAGTAAACAAAGTTGTGGCACTTGTATATCATTGTTGTTGTTAGATGTCATCAAGTTGGCTCCAATTCATAGCAACCCTACATACAACAGAATGAAACACTGCCCAGTCCTGTGCCAACCTCACAGCCTCATAGTCTTACTATACTTGACCCCATTGTTCCAGCCACCATGTCAACTGTCTCATTGAGAGCTTTCCCCATTTTCCCTGACCCTCCACTTTACCAACCATGATATCCTTCTCAAGGGAATGGTTCCTTCTGACAAGACAGCCAAAGTAGGTGAGGAACAGATCTGTTAGGTCCTCTGGCAGTCCATGATACTTTCAGTATTCTTCACCAACACCACTACTCAAAAGCATCAACCCTTCTTTGGTCTTCCTTATTCATTGTCCAGTTTGAAGAACTTACCGATGAAGATTAAAGACTCCAGTCTGCAGTATGGAATACACCTCACCATAA